ACTAAAAGACCATGGAACATACAAGTACAGGGGCCGGTCTTGGTAAAGGGACAACCTTGGCTCACTCGCCTGGGAACTCTCCGCCCCGTGGTGGTGCAGCCCCTCGTAGCTGGAACTCGGCTCCTCGAGTTCAAGGCGCCCGAGTGGAGTGGCTGCGGGGGGGGGGGGGGGGGCGGCGCTTCGAGCAGTCCACTCTACTTGGGTCGCGTTTTTCGAGGGCGCCTTTTTCTTTCTTCTTTTTCAGGGTGGTTTAAGGACCAAGGGAAACCAAAGGGAGAACCACAATTGTTCTTGCCGACTCATGGGTGAAACACCGTTCCAAGGAAAAAAATCCCGTTGAGGGAACAAAGTGGCCTGCATGGCAAAAAGGGAGTCCCCACAAAAAAAAAAAAGTTTCTCTACGAACGGCGTGAGCTTTTGGGTTTCCAAGCTTATTTGCAGGGGGGCATCCCCCTCCAGGCATAGGGGTGCCCCTGTTCAACTTAGCTGTCCTCAATCTGAGAGGTTGCACCTTGCCAAGTTGATTCAGGCATGACCAAGTACATCTGGTGCAAACGGCTGACACGATACATCTCTACAGAAGTAGAAATTAAAATATAAGTAAAGATGTAGATATGTATATGCATATATACATACATAAAGTACACTTGTGTGTGTGGCTTGAACCTGCATGACGCACACAGGTGCGCATTTGAAGGCTTCCATGGGTTTTACTGCAGGCACCCCCCTCTCCACCAAAGGGTGCCAAAGCCGTCCTCGGAAGGTGCCTCGCCTGACGCAAGCTGCACGTGTGGCACAATATGCCCAGGGGGGGCGGCTTAGGCTGTGCGGGTGCAGCGCATTTGCGGCAAAGGTATCCGAGTCATGCCTGGCCGAATCCGAATGCCACATACCCAAAACGCACCTTTTTCCCATGCGCGTTGAAATTGTCTCCGCCAGCTAGCCCAAAAGCTGGCAACCCAGAGCGGTTCCTCAAGGCTTGCCCTTCATTTAAGGGCCTAGATGCTTTCTGACACTGCTCTCCTACAGCCAACCCTGAAACAACAATTTGTTTGGAGCCCATGGAACCGCTCCTAACCCCAAGCTGATCACGTCTCTCAGGCCGAGAGCTCTTCCTCGAACTGTTTGTGGAACTCCGTGGCCCGCCGCTGCCGCTGGCTGGACGGCATCCGCGGCGGGAGCCCCGAAATCCGAACCTCGGATTCGTGGGCCGCCCGGAGCTGAAGGCCCCCGGCATCACCCAATGGAAACATGGACACATTCTTCGCGCATGCCGCATGCATCACTCTCATAATCCTTGGCACGTTTCTCAAGTCGACAGAACAGTGAGGCACACTGAAGTGCTTTGCATGCCCCTCACAAGAGGTTGGCCCCAGGCCTTCTGGACCTGGCTGGCCTTGCTCACCCAGCCAGTTGGTCCCCTCCCTTCACCTGGAGGGCTGCTCCGAGCAGCCACGCCACTGCGCCAGGGAGGCCGCAGCCAACCCAGCAAAAGCGGGTGGGAAAAAGATTCCCAGCTCCAGGCTGGAGCCATTTTGGCTCATGAGCCACAGGACACAGACATAGACGGCATGGTGCAGAATGAACCCACATCACCAAGCCTGCCAAGCACAAATGTGGCAAACATTCTTCGCGCATGCCGCATGCATCGCTCTCATTTTCCTTGGCACGTTTCTCAAGTTGACGGAACAGTGAGGCACACTGAAGTGCTTTGCATGCCCCTCACAGAGGGTCCTCTCAAGAAAGGCGAACACCTGGAAGACTGCGCGCAAAGGAAGCCGCCACTGCAGAGGCGTGGACTTGGAAGCGGAACCGCTTGATAAAGGGAGCTGATGCCGTCGCTCCAGTTTGATGCAGACTGCACCCACTCCCACCACAGAGTGCATTCCAGCCTGAAGAGCAAGCAGTAGACCAAGCGGGCCATCGTTGTCAACGTAGAACACCCCTGTTGTCCGCCGGAAGACGTCCGGGAAAACAACCTGCGCTATCTTGGCATCATGAGAATCCCACAAACGAAAAACATCTTCATTGATGTCTACGACTGAGCCTAGGCGCTGGCTCTGTGCGAGACCATCCTGCGTGGCTGCAGGTCTAGGAGGAACTCGATCTGGTCAAACGCCATCAGAAGTTGAGGGGTAAGATGCGTGTCATGTTCGAGATGTTGTCTGCTTTTGATTGGAGACAGGCCTGAGCGGGCAATGCACCCAAAAGCACCTTGGTCGAGAAAGCCGAGACAGCCAAAAAGCTTGCTGGCCACGCCAGGCGTGAGGTAGTCATGGGCTCGGGCATTCTGGGTTATGCCACGGATCTTTGCAACTAGCCTATCCCTCACCCACAGGGTGACACTTGAGTCAGAAGAAGCCTCCCGCAGGTCATGCACAACGCCCAGAAAGTCTCCTTGCGCGGCAGGCAGCTGCCGCTTTTCGGCGGCAAAGGGAAAGCCGAGGCATTTTGCAAGCTGCTCGACACACGACTGCGCAGCAACCGCGGTGCATGCCCAATCCTGCATGGTAAGGTCATCGTAATACATGGAGGCAGCCACGCGGAGTAAGCGGCGGCATGAAAAAAGAAAGGCCAACGATTGAACCCGCTTACTGTGACCAAGGGCAGCACCGGTGCGGCAGGCTCCTCCAAAGCGGGAGAGTGTTTGGCAGCACCAAGCACGGATTCCCACGATGCGATGCCAAGTCGCGGCAGTGAGAGCCGGCGGCTCTTGCGGTGTCACCGCTGGTTGATGCCAGTCTGGCATGTGTGCCGCAGGGTGTCTGCAGTCAGCAGTTTGGATACCCTGAGGCAGTTTTGCAAACTAATTTTACAGAGTATGTGGCTCATCTTTTGGATTCTTGGCGTGATGCGCAGTTGCACGCGGATGAGAACTATTGCCTTCAGTCACATTGGTTGCAGCTAACATGGAAAGCAACGCCAAGGGCCGCCGCCGCGAAAGCCGCATGCCAGGCAGTGCTCGTGAACCACTCCTTCGGACAGAGGCCTGGCCCCGAGGGCTGCCCCACCTGACGGGCCGGTTTGCTTCCCAGGTGCAAGCTGACAATGAAAATTCGGATTTCCTTTTAGCAATCCAATTCGTCATGAACCTTCACTCCCGGGGGGCACTCCGCGAGAACCCACGCCAAAGCCTTCACTGGTGCGACCCCTGCGAGGTGTTTTTGGCTTCCTCGGGTGAATGGGACGACAGCTAGGCGCAAGCAGGAACGTTTTCGCCACAACTTAGATGAACTCAACAAACTTCCGGCCTCGGTCTGTGCCCACCAGCATGAGGCTGGAGAGCGACATTTTCTGGATGGGGAGGTCATCTCGCCGTCATGCGAGGAAACGGAGCACACAGCACTTTTGGTTTTCACGTTAGCTGCTGCAGCATCTTATTGGGCTGCCCGGCGCGGGTGGGCCACGATGAAAATTTCACGGTTGCCACCCATTTGAGCCCTCAGGAGATCGCCGCTCGTGGTTGGCCATGCCATCAAGAGCATTCCGGCGCGACGCCATGACACCTGTGGCCTTGTTTACCGGACTCTACCCGCCCGAAGCGGCGCAACATAGAGTCTGTGTTTGTGAAAGGGCAGCCACTGCCTGAAGACGTAATGTACGTTGGTTATGGCCACTTTTCGCACCGGTGGCCTTGTGTCAAATGGCGCTGCCCCTTCGAAGTTGGACGCCGCGGATCTCCTGCTGAGGTGCTCGTCCAGTACATTAGGCACATGCAAGCTGCCCCTTTGAAGCAGCAGTTGCACGAGCTGCGGGGCAAGCGTCTGGCCTGCGACTGCCTTGTCGGCACGCACTGCCACGCTGATGCTCTCGCAGGCTTCTTCTGGGAAGAAGTCCGTTGTAGCTCGCAGCCACAGGAGCGCGCACAACTGCCCGGCGTTGCTGGATCGGCGGCAGGCGTGCGAACAGTGTCATCTTCGCTTGCGCCCTTTTCCCAGGCAGCAGTCGTTGGCGCAATTCGCGGCCTCTTCCCCAACTTGGATTTTCACAACGTAGCGTGGCCCGACATGGCGTCCATTCTTAACGACCCCGTGCTCCTCGGGTTCCACCGCTGGATCCAGGACCAAGGTCTGGTTTCTGATGGACCGTTAGGGCCGTCTGCCCTCCCGGGTTGCGGCGTGTCTGCAGTGCGAGCTTTCGTGGCGCAGCAAGCAGGCGCAGCTGCGCGGCGCTCAGCCATGGCACCAGTGGTTCCCTTTGGCCTCTCGCCCGAACAGCACTTCTCCCAGGCGCCGCTGGTGCGGCGTCAGGGTTGCTCTCTTGACTTTCCGGCTCCAGCTGACCTGGATCTGCGATTTGAGGCAGTTAAGCACTTTGGCTCGCTTGAGCGGCTTCGCCATCAAGCCTGAGCGGCAGTGGAGGAGCTCGGGCGTCGACTGGAGCCTGTCTTGTGCTACATACGTTCGCAGCAGCCCGACACTGTTTGCCAAGTCAACCCGGACAACCGCATGGCGTTGATTGCCTTGTTGGTGGTCGTGTTCTCCTGGCCAGGTTCTGGTCTTTTATCCGGCTTCCTTCACGGTTTTCCAGCTGTGGGTCACGGCTGACGCACGCAGGATCCTCAAGTCTCTCCAGCCAGGGGTAGACGATGACGTTGTGCACAGAGCAGGCGTCGAGGACGAAGCTGCTGGGTTCTGCGGACCTCCCATGTCCTGGGGGCAGCTGCTGGCCGTCGGCCGCCCGTTTCGCTTGATCCGCCGGTTTGTCATCACGCAAAGCAGTGGTAAAAAGCGCGTCATCGACGACGCGCTTAGTGGAGGGCAGAGCTATCATAGCCACGATTCGAATCACCTGCAGTTCTGCTCAGATCTTCAGCCTTGCATCCATCTGCACTGCCTAGCGCAGGCGGTGCAGGATCTTCTCGGCACCGACGCCGCTTGGCCCGACGATGTTCTATCTGCTGGCGAAGACCTCCCCAGCGCATACCGCAAGATGCCAATGGATCCTGACCACAGCTGGGCTTGTGTAGTGGCTTACTATGATGCCCAAGCTGGTGCACCTCAGTTTCGGCGATACCACGGCATGCTGTTTGGGCTCCCGTTGCTCATGGCAGACTGCCAATGCACATCGCGCAGCTGGTAGACCTCCGCAATGACCTCCCCGAGGCTGGAAGTGGAGCTCTCCCATTCCGATCTCTCTTGCTGGTCGAGGAGGATCAAGCGAGCTAGGCAACCATCCCCCATCTTGCTAGCCACAGCACGTGCCCTCCAGTGGTACTTGAAGGTCACATCCCAAGGGACTTGCACGTAGCGAAGGGAAGATGACGTCGACGTCTCCTGCTCCTTTGGGTTTGGCTCAATGGGGAGACTCCCGCCATGGCCAGTCCCAAGCAGTATGTGTGCAAAAGGTCCAGCCAAGACTGGCACGAGCGTTCAACGCGGACGTCAATCTCCTTGTCCCCCGCCTGTTCCACCCACGCAATCTTGCGCTTCTTGGCCATGCCCATGCGTTGGTTGTAGATGGCGCGCACGGACCACAGGTCGATCACCTCGAGCACCTCGATGTTGCGCCGCTGGATGGCGCGGCGCAGCTTTGATAGCAAACAGTCTGAGGGCAATTGCTCAGGCACAAAGGACATCTTGTAGCGCTTGTGGAAGGCCGCGCGGATGTCCGTCAGCTGGGTGGCAGGCAACAGCTCGTCCTCGTTGAGCGGATCCAACCCTGCAGTAACTTGCTGGGACTCCTGCGTTATAGTTGACGCCCACGCATGCTTCAGGCGAGCTGCCTCCAACCGAGCATTTTTGAGATTGCTCTCAATTGGCGTGATGAACCACTTCGGCCTCAGCAGCACAATAGTACCTGAAGTCGCTCAGGGAGGTGACGCCAGCATCCAGAATGTGGTCGACAATTAGCTTGTCGAACTGGAACCGCTCGGCCAAGGCCTCAAAGAGCTCTTGAGGGGACGACATGACCAGGAAAAGTTCTACAGCCCGCCACAGAGCAGCTAGACGAGCTGTGGAGTATGCGCGGCACGCTAAATGCAACAAAGCTGCCTAAGCAGGTGTATTGCTAAACAGAAGCAGCAGCAGCGCACTTGCTCTGGACGTAACAACTGCCTTTAGCTAAGGGGCCCTTGTTGCTACGAGGCCTGTCAAGTTGAGACCTTGCAGCACAAAGGAAAACCGCCCCGCAGCAAGCAAGTCGCACCGCCTTGGGGATTGCCGGCTTCCAGCCGAAACAGGCGCTAGGTCTGGCAAGTTGATACGAAAACCAACCTACACACATGGATGTGCTTTTGTGGGCAACTGTCAAAAAAGGAAAGCAGCAACAGCCCGAAGCAACAGTACATCACGAAAAAGCTAACACATGACCAGCAAAATGGCCGTTCATAGACCACTGCCGCTGGCCAGATCTGCTCTGCCGCCACCGGCATGCCGGCCGGGGGACTCTGGCATTATGTTTTTGGGCCTCACGTGCCAGGCTGCACGGCCGTGCGCTTCCGCCCAATCCGACATGGCACGGGGCGATCGCCATCAGCGCGTTCATGGCACCAGCAAGCCAAGCCACCCCTGGACAACACCTTGTGCGGCTCCACGTTGCGCAAGCGCTGAATGTGTTGCAGCGCGGCAGACAGGGAGATGCCACGTAGCAATGCAAGCACCATGCCTGCACCAACCGGGCTCGGTGAACTCCTGCTGCACAATGGATGCGGTCCTCGAAGCACGGCATGAGGAGAGAGAGGAGCCGCTGCCAAGCAGCATCCCTGGAGCGGATGTCCGTCAGTGGGAAATTGAGGGTCATGATCCCGGATGCAACTCGGACGCCGCGGCTCTCCAGAGACTCCTTGAAGACCGACACGATCAAAGCCTGAGCTTGTGAAAGCGAGCAAAATCCCTTTCTGCAGGGAGACCCCCCAACAGGATTGCTGGATAGCCCTGATGCGTGTCCAAGCAATGGATAACTGTGCGAGGCTCAGGTCCGTCTGCGTGGCCGGGCGTCGCCAGCGCGCTTTCGCGAGCTCATCAAAGTAGTCATCCTCTGTGGGCTCGTTGTGAGGCTCCTCCCCAATTTCCAGCGGCGTGGACGGCAACGTCAACGGGCCACGCTTTCGGGGCATGGCCGTGACCGCTGGGCAACTCTTGGAGCCATCACCTTCAGCCGCCACCTGCGGCCGGGAACCGCCAGGCTCTGCGGCAGCCTCGATGGCAACAGGGCAGACGGCTCCCGAGCCCTTTTCCGCGAGGCAGTGTCACTGCGGGGCCTCCACTTGAGGACACCTTTGCGCAGGCGGACAGCCCGCTCTGTGTGCCGCAAGGAAGGCAGCTCCTGCGACCACTCGAACTGCTCCTCCTCCGCCATCAAGCAAGCTGCATCGTTCCTGGCAAGACGCCGCTTGCTTCCACGAACAGGAAAGCTGACGGCGCAGCTGCTGGATGCTGTGGCGGAAAGCGTGCTGGACTGTTTCGCTCTGGATGTACTTCGCGCTGTGGCACCGAAGCGGCATCAAGCTCCGGGACTGATCGGCATGAGACTTGTCGGTCCAGTTGCCAAGCGCCACCATGTCGGCTGGCTCCAAACCTGCCAAGGTGACGGCCGCCTGCCGCCAGCTTTTGGAGGTTACCAGCGCCAGGTCGTCCTCAAACACCAAGGTCGACAAGGCCAGACGGACCGCATCCTGCGCAGCGGACTGCCGCATCATCTCCCCCGAAATGGGGTGGAAGACAAGCCCGGGTGTTGCTCGGGAACCGACCAGACGGGTCAGCGCACTGCCAACGTCGAAGTTGGAGGTGAAGCGCGGGGAAGACCACAAGAAGCCATGCCTCTGCCCAGAAGTCTTGCCCCGCAGGCAAAGGAAATGCAGTGTGCGCTGGCTCATGCGTACCAGCTTGCTGCGCTGCAGGTGCTGCCACCGCAGGCACCCAAAGCACTGCAGCCAAGCTCCGAGCAAACACGGCCATGATTCATGGCAGGCTCTGCGACGGCCATCAAGCCCAAGCGTGGTTGACTCGACCCGATTTGACACGCATCAATGTCCACAAAGAGGCTCCGCTGCATCCAGCGCAAGGCTGACAACGATCGAGACGGTGTTGAAGAGGTACGGAAAAACTGCGCCATGAAGAACGGGGTCAGCAGAGGCGGCGCGATGTCAGCGGGCCGCGCTGCATCCACGAGCTCGCCCCAGGTCCTAGCCACCCTCTTCAGGGTGGCTGTTTCCGTGGTCGACAACAGCTTCTGAAGCAGTCCAGACATTGTGTTCTCAATCACACGCATGTTGCCAGCGACTAGCCCGGGCAAGAACCTGCAGCAGCATGGGGCGAAACGCGCTGTTTGCCGTTGAAAGCTCTGCGTGGGGCTCAGGGTCAGTGCGCAGCGAGACACGCCGGGCAGGCTGCGACCCTGAAGGCATCGCCGCCTCAGGCTCCACCACCTTGACGCGGTAAAGGTCGCGCACCATACCGCCCACACCCGGTCTCTGGCAGACAGCCAGGCACGGGCCACCGCAGCCCCACTGAGCTCCGCCTGCTGGTAGTTCTCGAAGTAGAAGGCTAAGTCGGCATCGGTCTCGATGCCAACCGCCTGCATCCAGGCCCCAGCAACCTCGTTGCCAGCGAGGAGCTCAGGTGAGCTGGCCATGGCCCAAGGACGCGCCCGAAACAAGGGCAAAAAGATTCCCAGCTCCAGGCTGGAGCCATTTTGGCTCATGAGCCACAGGACACAGACATAGACGGCATGGTGCAGAATGAACCCACATCACCAAGCCTGCCAAGCACAAATGTGGCAAATAACGCAAGTGAACATGAAAGTACATGTAAGTCAGACGAACTGCCATTCAAGGCAACAGCTGCCATTACAGCTGGCCAAAAGGTTGCGCTTCTTGAAATCACCTTGACTTGAATCCACCTGGCGGAAACTCAAGCTCTCAGCCTGAACACAAATCCCGAACCACGACCACCCTGGGGGCATCCGAGAACAGATTCAAACCCGAAGACAAGCCCCCACGCCCAACACACACACACACACACACACAACTGAAAAGCTGCCCCCCCCCCAGCACCCAACGCGAATCTGAACCCAAACCGGAGCACGGACGCTGTCCCCGATCCATTTCACAGGATTTCTGTGGTGTCTTCGTTGGACGCCAACCGCAGAATCCCAGCCCCCTGCTTCGTGACAACAGCGGCTATGTGAATATGGGGGTCCAGCAATTTTGACCCCAACCCCAAAGCAAATGAAAATGAGGAAGTGACCCAAGCATTGGAGCGATTGGAGCACCCTGGTGAAGCCAAATGCCTCTTTCAAAGCTAGGCTTGAGGCACGGGGTCGGCCCCAGATCACTATTTTCCTACCCAGTGGCGGAGTTTTCTGCCCTGTGCCTTCCCCCACATCACTCCACCGGCTCTATGCCAGCGGGCGCCGGCTTATCCCCCAAACCGAAAACAAACCGCCCCGTCCGTCGACCCCAAGGCGCAGAGTCCAGGGTCTGGAACCGGGACAGCGCCACGTAGAGCTGCGCGGGCTCGAAGACCTTGGAGAGGTTCAGCTGGCCCGAGCTCAGCGTGAGCCCCTGGCCGCTGGCATTTCGATGGCCGAGTTACTTCGATTTCGGGTTGGTCGGTGGCCGATTTCGGGTTCAGAAAGAGCTGTTTGACCCCGAAGCAACTGGTCCTGGGGTTGCCTGCCTTTTTGGTCCGGTGAAGCTCGACCGGCACCACAGCCGCGTTGAACGAAACACCCGAAGGAATAATTGGGGGTTGCCCGAAAGAGTAGCAAGTGGCAGCATGCACCTATGCACGATGAAATCAGCCTTCTTCATCGCAATATTCCCCTTGCAAAACTCCTAGCTGGGGTCTTCGAAAGCAGCTCTTACAGAGGTTTTGACTCACTTGAATGTGGGGCCTGGGCTGCCTCCTGGATCCCAAATAAGCGACAATGAGCTGGAAAACGCTGGCGCGTTGGCCTTGCTGCTCCCAAGCCGTCCACCAGTTGTCGATTTGTTGCTACGGTGTCGCCTGCGTCTTGTGGATGGTCAGCGCCCAAGCCAGCTTCAGTGGCACCTGTCGGCCAGCTGAGCGATCCAACTTGCAGGGGCAGCAAGCGGAGCAGTCTGAGCAGTCCTCCTCCTACATCGTCACTGAACAACGATGGCCAAAGAAGATGGCAGAGGCCACTTTGCCCCCCCCCACCCCAGAAGCTGTGAGGAAGGCCAATCCCGAACCTACCTATCATCTCAGCAAATGCAAGAAAGGACGTCCCTTGAAATCCCAGGACAAAACATCCATTCACACCTCTCACACCCCACATTCGCAAGCCAGGCGCTAGGCAAGCACATGGCGGGGCGCCGAGAGGCGAGGCTGGGCTGTGGCAACTGCTTGCTTCACCCCCTTCGGAACCCCCAAGGGTGCAGCAAGCCTTAGAACCGGCGGCGCCAGGGACCACCGCCTGTTTAAAACATGTTTCATCAACACTTGAGCCACTTGTTCTTAACATCTTGACTTAAGCTTCCCTCTGGTTGGGGCCCACCACCATCACCCTATCCGCCTGCGTGCGCGCGTACTTTCCTAGGAAGCCCAGCTCGCCCTCCATCTTCACGGGCTCGATTAAGCGGCGGTAGCGCCGTGCGAACTCAACCACCGGAAAGCCGTCCTACCGGAGAAGCAGGAGTTGCATGCCGGCCCTCCCCAAGCACCACCCACCAAGAGGGAAGGGCTGCAAACCTACTTGCCCCAATCCGAAGGCTGGATGCCACAACAACAGGCAGCAACGTGTTGGAAAGAGTAAAGGTGA